TTTTAAACTAAAAGTGACAGCGCAAAAACTGGAACAATATAAAATGTGTGATAACTTGATGAGAATATAAAAAGACACAGTTGTTATTGTAACATATGCCACTTCAGGCTTCATGTAAATGGTAGAACCCTTTCAAATATAATAACAGGTTCTAAGTCATTAATAAGTGGACCTGGAACTTAGACCTTACTTTCATAGAACAATGAGAGGATGGTTTATTTGTTGGTTCACACTAGTCACAGTCTGTCTCACAAGATGACTAGGCTTACTAAGGCACTTTATGTGTATCCATTTTATCATTGTAATGAAACGGGCAATTTCTTTAATTCCTACATTAGCATATCAAAAAGCATTTAATGAAAGGATATTCTGAAGTAGATGATGGATAGATGTATCCTAAATTGCATAAACGCCTACTGGTGAGTGCTGGACAGTGAACGAATAGAAAACAAAATTTTTTTTTTTGAACCTATGAGCCACAGCTATGAAAGACACTCCTAGTTAGGGTTGAGCAAAATGTATATGTATATATTCTAAAAATTGACCACTTTTATGTGTACATTGATTATGTAAAGTAGTTTTTTCGTAAGGACTGAACTCTTTCTCTCGAGAGAACCACACAGTGATATAGTAAATATTCAATTGCTTCCATCATAACCTCACCCTGACAAAGATGTATATGTAATGTAATCTATATAAATGTTGTAACTTGAAAAAATATTTTATAGCATTTTGTCAGTAATAAGAAATTTTTTAAATATTAATTTATTTATATTTTCTTATTTTTCGATAGAAAATAAAACGGCAACGAAATTTATCATTTATCATTTATCAGTTAACATAATTAAAATATTACAAAAAAATTTAAATATGCAAAATATTATTTGAAATGTTCATCATTAACATAATTCGTATGAGAAACCAATATAACAAAAATGAATTACGATAACAAAAACAAATCAATTTAACGAAAAAAAAACAACTCTTGGATTATATAATGGAAATAAGTGGCATAAACATGACTCCTCAATGGTAAACAAGTAACAACAGCTGAGTGGCACCATCACCATCATCACACCAACACTAACGCCAACAACAAGAAAGCAACAGAAAATGCGGCAAAAAGAGCGTTCGCACACAATCACCTTCTTCTGATCGTACTAAATACCCACTTTACTTCTTAACTGCAGCCTTTAAAAAAACGAAATGCTCAGCTCTCAAATGCACTCATGGCATTCAGCATCGCATAACTGGACTCTGGTACAAGTAGGCAAGCAGAATATGACTTAACATTGAGTTTGTAAGTTGCAAGTTGCATGCTACACAAACACTGCTATCAGTCCCCGTCCCCATACACTGCTGTGTAAACTGTAAACTGTAAACTATAAACTGTAAACTATAAACAGTAAACAGTGCCCCTATCAAGCTCCACTCTGGTTCAGAAAATTTTTCAATGACATCGTTACTCAAAGTCTTTTTTATACATATTTCCTTTTTAAGTGTGTTACCCTTTTTTTTGTTGTAATACATTTTTACACACTTTTCGGGTTTACTGATTGCACTATGATTTTTATTCATTAACATAAATGCTTTTTAACACAATTTTAAATACACATTTTTAGCTTCATTTTAAAACACATTTTGTAATAGAAGATTTTGAAGATTTGTGTTTGATATTTTTTATTGTTTTAAACATTTTGTATGTGTTTGCTTTAATTTCTGCATATAAAAGCGTATATGTGTTTGTGCTGTTTAGGCAATCATCGACGCGACCATAGCATAGCGCATTTCTTTCCCTGTACATATTTTGTCATATTTTTTTTTGCTATATTGTATATTATTTGCTTAAGTTTGTGCTTTAAGTCTTCTGTTTCCAAGCACCAGTACTACTAATGCGTTTAAACCGATAGTATATTTTTTATTTTTTAATTATTTACTACCGACGTTTTTAATTTCAAACATCAAGAAAAACAAATAACCAAAAAAAAAAAATAAAACAAAAAATCACTTAAATTATTATACATATTTCATACCGTAAAACCAGATGATTTTGCAATTCCTTAACTTCCCAACACAATTTGGCTGCGACTCCGCACCGTACTACTACCAAGTGACGCGTTTGAGCTACCTTTTGATACTGAGCGAAACGCAAACTCTATTGAAATTGTTTTGCTAAAAAGTTACAAGTTAAGTTAAGTACGTCACACTCAACAGCGATATTATTTATATATACATTAATAGTTTATTTTTACTCGCACATTACATTTAAACTCGTATATGTAACTAGATACGAAAAGATTTAGCTTTATAAAGCACCACAAGCACTGTGCTAATATTATCAACAACAATAGCAACAATAGCAACAATAGCAACATTAACAACAACAGCAACAACATTACTTGAAAAAAATATGCGACAAAAAATACTAACAGTGGAGATCAACAGTAATGAGATTTACTAGTGCAATAACATATAGCGATTTATTCAGTACTCATACAGTATTAAATAGTAAATTCTCTTAATGTACAACGTGAATTAACAAGTCGATTCTTATGAATTATTAAATGTTTATATTAATTGCATTTACTTAGTAATATCTAAAAACTCAGTGAGACATTTTATAGTGACTACAATTAATACATTTTATTAAAATATCTATTTTTTTCTTTTTAGTTTTTTTGAATCGAAAAATTGCACTGAAAGTCCAACATAAGTTTTGAAAAATAAACAATCTGCAATCTGCAAAGATTGCACTGCTCCAGTAAGAATAAAATACGCTCCAGTGTACGGAAAAAGAATGACTTCTGTATTTGTACTAGAAGAAGACATTACGTAATAGGAACCCATGCAAAAATTTGATAGCTCGAGACTTTTGTAAAAGTTACGAGGAGAAAAATGAGAGAGAGGAGAAAAATTTGCTATATATATCTATATATTCAATTTAGGAAGGTGTACTATGAATAAATATATATAATTATATTTGGCTAAATTCATTAACAAATCATGTCGATTAAAATATGAAATAGGGAAGTAGATTCTACTGTAAACGATAAAATTGGTCAGCAAATATTCGTAGCAAACAAAATTAAAAATATACTAAACATTGATTTTCCCAGTAGTAAAATATGGCTGCGAGATATAGAGATTAACTGAAATGGAAGCAAGCAAGATAGCAGTGTTTCAAAAGGAAAATACTCAGAAAAATGTTTGGCCCCGTAAAAGAAAATGGGATACAACCACGAGCTAGAACGGCTAGCTGAAGGTGATACAATCAATAAATTTATGAAAAAGCACTGGTTAAGATGAGTTGGACATGTGATAAGAATGCCGGATATGAGAGTACCGGTTAATATTTATGAGAACGCAATAGGAACCAGCAGAAGAAGAGGGCGGCGAAGAAAACGATGGAACGACAGTGTGCAGCAGGACTTACAAGAAATGAATGTAAGAAATTGAAAAATAAAAGCAAAAAACAGAGAAGAATGGGCTGTATAGTCACGGATGATGATGCAATATTCGTATTGTGTCGACGATAATCGAAACCGTATAACCTGATTTAACTTTACTAAAGTATTTTGTAAAGCTAATTACACAAAACATAAAAAGAAAAATAAGTGTCATAATATCTAATTCTAACAGTAGACCGTTTGATTCAATACATAAAAATACACATAATAACTCAAACTTAATAATCACTTGAAATCAAATACTTGAAACAAAAAACAATTTAAAAACAATTCACACAGAAAAGTAATTTAGTAGTTAAAAATGTCCTTTCCCCTTGCTATTTACTATTCACGTCAAACCAAAATTCTTGTTGTTTCCGATTTAGATAAAATATGAATAGCGAATCAAACGAATAGATTTCGAATAGTAAATAAATGAATATTTTATTATTTTTAGCGAGTCTAATACCTGCTGATTTCGACTAAACATATAACGTTATAATACCAACAGAAGTAATGATTAAAAATAGAATAAAAAAAATGGAAATAGATAAAATAAAAGATATTAATTAAAACGCATTCCATATTAATGCGTTTTAATGATAAAAATGTGTTCATGTTAAATGTAAAGGGGTGATTCCCAAGAGAAAATTCTCAAACTAATCGGCAGACCACAATCTGAAAATGATTGCAAACGTACGATTTATTACTATAAAATGCTTGGAAGGTTGGAATTATTTAATGATTTCTAACATAATTCAGCAACTTAAGTTTATACAAATTCAAAAATAATGATATGATGATGACTGAAGAGTTCTAGAGTTCTGTACCATGAAGAAATATATTTGTCTGTTACAATTACAGATAGAAACAGAAGAATTTTAGTGTCGTTTGTTCATACAGGCGGTACAGCCTCTTTGTACATTCCAACGGCTATAAACAATTAAGAATAATTTATTCTTCAATAAAAAATTTCGCACACGTGTAAGCGAAACTGAATTTATAAAAGAACTCGTGAGTTGCCTATTACAGCAGTCCGAGCGGAGAGTATCTCTTACCATTCTACAAGTGTGCGAATAAACAGATTTTTTGTGTAAAAAAAAAAACATATATTGTATGTGTATTAATGGGGAATATAGATATTAAACCAAAAATAATGAGAAGAAGAAAAGTATGTAATTCTGTAGTATTTTTATTTATTATTATTTAAACAGATTAGCTTAGGACTCTGGAGGCTTTTTATTTTAAAAATCAAATCAGTTCATCTGTCAAGTGATTTGATGTAAGACAATAATAAGGATTTATTTTTATGAATCTGAACAAAGAATATAAATTAGATAAATGTTATTTAAATTAATTAATTCCATTATTTATCTAATGCATTATTTTAATGCTGTACGAGATAAATTTAATAATTTAGCTAACCTTTATAAATTCATTTTTCTTTTTAGAATTAAAGGTGTTGATTCTACAAACTTTATATACCAGAATTAAGTGGGTACAAAGTTTCTCTCATGTTTTTGCTTTTTTACAATTATTAAAATTTTTCTTTCCTATTATACAAAAATCTAAAAGGTTAAAAGTCTTACCTAAGTCAAAGAATCATTATTAATATGTCATAAAGTCTTATTTTTCAACACATAAATGTTATTGTAGTAGTTTCGAGTTCCTCATGAATATATGTGATTATATACTTTTATAAGTCATAATATATATATCTTGAAGTCGATTAATATTATATAATTAATAATATAATATAATTAATTAATGCAAATAAATAATAATATAATATAAGTAATTAATCATATATAATTAATAATATAATATGTTAATTATTTAATATTATATGTAGAATAATTTTATTAAATGTACATTTATATGATTTTAAAAAGTTTATGTGAAGTGTTTTCACAAATGTTAAAAATATATAAATGACAAATATAACAAATATAAAAATATACAATTTTGATGGATGAAAGTCAAGTATCAAGATGAAATTCATAACACCTACATAACTAAACTGAGGCTCTATGCTCCACTGGGAGTTAACGGAATAAAGAAGAAGACATAACTAAATAACAGTCAACTTATGTCTTAAAATGTTAATCCTCCTATTTGAGCGGAGACTTCTTTGGGATTGCACCAACTACAAATGCAAGCCTGACGGTAAGTACTTCCCATCTTTATGACAATTTATGTTCTTTATGACAATGCCAAAATCACTCGTATTGCCGAGTACCTTTTGATACTCGCCCGTAGGCACCTCACCCGGCTCCACAAAGTCCAACATGATGTCGCCATCCCCAATACTCTCCCTGAAGACTTCATTCAAGCCTTGCGCTACAAATCCCCCAATACTTGTCCCACTACTTCAAAGAGTGTAACCGTAATCTTCAAACCATTTCCCTTTATAGTCGCGGCTTTCGTGACCCTAGTTCCAAAGTTTATTGCTAGTCTCTCTAGCTTGTATGCGCTTTAACCCCACCCCCTTCACCTTTACCCTAATTTACGCCCCAGCTTTCTGGCTTAGATGAACCTAGCTTGCTATGTAATTAAGCCTATATGTTCACATCTCGCTCCCCTGATTACTGGATTTAAGTGTCCATAAAGCTGTGGAAATCTTCTCATTTCATTTCTAAGAGATGGTTTTAGTGGGTTCAAGTCTCACACTGTGGCTTTCGATAACTTCCACCTACTGCAAAAAAAAAAGGCCTTAAAATCAAATAAAATTTGACTACTTAGGCAGTAGCATTTTATATGTATGTATATCGAGGTTGTATTATATAACAAACTTAAAAAGTCACAAACAAAAATATAATGAACTATTTTAAATTTACTTTATTATATATATTTTTTAATAATATATTTTTATAGTACATATGTATTTTTTTTTTTTGTTGTTGTAAAGTATGTACTTAGTAATATTAAATCTATTTTTTTGAGTTTATCTGATAAGCTTGCAATCCATTCTCTGTACATTTAATTAAATTGCACATTTCTTTTAAACTCTTCATTTAAACTTTAATTTAAATATACTTCCTTTTTTAAATATTTTTGAAAGATGGACTTTCAACCTAAGACTATATTTGAGTAATTATTTAAATAAATTTATTTTCAGCTAGTCTTAAAATTATTTTTTAATGTAGATGACAACAAAACATTAAAAAATTATTAAAAAAATTCTTGAATTTTGTAAAAAATGTGAAAAACTAGGCAATAATAATAAATATATTAAAGTAGACTTACATACAATATGTTATGTAAGCGCCAAAAGTTGATCGTTCGATGACCAATTTATTTGTATTTTAATTTTCATTTAACTTTATTCAAGGTCAACTTTCTTTTGCAGCAACGACCTTGCTATAAATCGACAACATATCAAGAAAAAAAAACACAACACAACAACAATTCATTTATAAGACATTGTGTATTGTTCAATAGTTTGAACCATTTCGGCTTTGTGGATTAGTTAACCAGTAAATGGCTGCATTATATGCTGGACAACTGCAGTGGCGTAACTACAGGGAAGCAACTGGAAGCAACGCTTTCGGGCCCCCGAATTTAGGGGGCCCCACTATAAATGTTTGTAAACGTTTTTTGTTGGAATAACTTCATATTGCATTTTATAAAAGATACGTAAGTTTTAAATTTAAAGTACATATAATATGTATGTACTTCAAATAAAATATTAAACCTAAATATAAAATAAAAAAGTTTTTCTAAGAAAAGTATGTGTCTTAATCGAGAGACACATACTATATCTAGATTTAAACCCATTTGAAAATAATTTTGTACGTTGTCTTTTGCAAATATCAGTACTGTATACACCAAATTCTATTTAAACACCTTTATTAAAAACGGAGAAACCTCATATCCGATTGTTAAGTTTATATCACAGCTACAAGACGTCCAATTTCAATCAAATCAAATGGTGAATAGGGTCGGCTAAAAGTATGTGTCCAAAGTTTCATTCGAAGAGTTCAAAAGCTGAGAGAGTAGTTTGAACTGAAAAAGTATATATATACTGTACTGATATATACTTAATGGTATTTCCGACGTTTTCTTTAATGTGTCACGAAAATCTTGACAAACCTTATATACCCTTTTCACATTTTTCGTGTAAAGAGTATAAAAAGAGGGGCCCCTTAGTATGTTGATAAGGGCCCCTTAGTTAGAATTTGCTTACAGGCCTAAAAAATGTAGTTACGCCACTGGACAACTGTTAATTTAACAATTGTTAATAATTGAATAATTGTTAAATTAAAATTTTTAAACAATTATGTGGTACCAATTTCTTCTAAATTTCAGTATATGCCACTATATACCACTTTTCAAACTATCGATATTTAAAAAGAACAAGATAAAATTAAAAGCTATCATATATCAATAAGAATGACTTTATTTAGTTTTATCTATAATGCCATACATCTATATATATATATCTATTCAGACATTTGTTGTTTTCAGTTAAAACATTATCTATTTGAAAATCATGAAAAAGTAAACTCGAAATAGTTACCACAACACAATATGCATATACTTACTTACATATGTAGGTATTAACATATGTACATAATGTATATAATAAGTAGAGCTATGCATTTTTAGCTTAATAGATTTAGATAATAGTTTTGCGTGCAAATAAGTGTCCCTCTTATCAAGATGCGAAATATCAACTTCCATACAATTGTTTTAATAAAAATATACTATTTTTGTGTCATATTATTCATTATCGTTAAAAGTTTTAAATTTATTCTAATGATCTTATTATTCATTATACATTATTATACATTTATGACATTTGTCTTTTGGTACATTCTCCTCAGTAGAAGTTTTTGTGGTTTCTGGCATTCCAGCTTGAAGAGTAGCGATTTAACACTTAATAAATACATAACTAAATGGTAGGCATTGTAAAACAAATGAAATAAAAAAAAAAATATCTTCAAATAAATTTTATAAGATAAATTGTTTTTATTACGGATATTTATAGAAATAAATGTTGACATATAAATATCTTGAAGTATATATTAATATATATTTAGCAAAATTTTTATATACAAACAAATGTCTAAAGGGCTGATTTTATTTTTATCAGTTTTTTTTTTATATAAAAGATAGAAAATAGCTAGAAATTAATTAAAACTGAAAAAAAGAAAATGAAACTTTTTGAATTTAATCTTTTAATTATATTTAAATTTTTGAATATATTTCGAAATATATATATTAAATACAAAATTTTTAATATAAATTTTTTACATTTCAGAATAAAGTAATCAGCTGATGTTTTACCAAATACTGAAAAAAATTTCTGACCTGATGCCTTGGTAATTCGTTAACTTAATAACTTAGTAATGTTGGGATTTCACAAATACAATTACTCATAAAATTTTATTACTTTAGCGAGTTACCGAACACGTCTTAATACCTATAATGTATAATAAATCAACTTATGCCAAAGGCAACGACCACATTTTAATTTGATTAATATAAATTGACTTATAGCACATTTGCACCATCTCATTTAGGCGGTTTTGCTCATTATAACCACTAATAAGGATGATTTACTCATATAAATGAGCTTTTTAGCAATAATACCTTTTTTCTAGTGCTTACTCTGGAGTTACTTGATTAACTTTAAAATTTTGTCATTTACACTGGCACAAGTTACTTGAGGCATGTGAAAAAGCTTTTATATTTTAAAAAGTTTTAATTGTAGAGTTTTTCTTTGTTTACATTTCAATTGTAAGCAGATGACATTTAATTTCGTATGGTTACAAGAAAATAATTCAGCAGAAAAAACATAGAATATGCAAGGAATTTAATATAATTTAATGTCTAATATTGTAAAAAAGAACATACAATGATTTATAAAAAATTGTAAACTATTAAAAAACAACAAATAACAGTGATATTAAATATATATTTGATATATAAACTTATTTATGTATTTTTATATATCAATTACATCAATTTATATATAAATGATGAAATTTGATATTTTATTTGATATATTATTAAGTGAAGTTTACAAACGTTCTATCAGCCACATAAATGAGCTCATTAGAATGTGAACGTTCACTCATTAATATAAATGGGAAGTGCCTGAACGAGACACTGTGAATGTGCTGAATGTATATCATGTAACGCATGATATACTTTTTTCAGTCATCTTTCAATTGTCATTTATTTTTTAATACTATTTTTGTTCATATTTTGTTTATTTGCTTAAAAATCAATTGCATTCAAACAAGTTACTAATGATATTATTGTAAAAAGTATGATTATAGAAAAATTTTTTATTTTATGATTAATTGCTAATTAATCAATCAACTGACTTTACCACACAAAATATTCGATTTTGTTATATCTGGCATTACTTTATGAGCACATACTTCTACTAAGCAACTCTGCTGATTATTAACAACCCTGTACGTAAACATTTCTTGAAAGTTTGTCAGACGGCTGCAGGATTTTTGGCGCGGTAATTATTGTCGCAATTAATTGGTTTACTGTTGCGTTGATCGCGCATAATATTTTACAAAACTTTATCATATAGAACATACGTTATGTTTAAAAAAACTGGTAAATGATTAAAATATAATGTAATTCTCATTTTACTTATATGTTAATTTTGTACAGTAAAAAAGAAAAGCAGCAACAGCGCCTTACCTATTTCCAATAGTAAGGTAACGGAATCTAAAAAAGGTGTTATAAAAAAAATCTCTAGTAAAACTGCTGTAGATTCAAAGAAAGACTCGCCGAATGACAGAAATACATCGCCTGAAGGAAATAAATTAGTTAACACACACAGTTTATCTACTCCAAGAAAAAGTAAGTTAATATTTAATAATCTTAGCCATAAGTAGATATATTTTATATATGAATTTTAACAAATTTTGTGTGATTTTTAGGTGTCCGAAACAATTTGGAAAAAACGAAGAAAATAGCAGTTGAAGAAAAAAACAAATCTGTTAAACATAAAAGTTTATCAACTCCAAGAAGAAGTATGTGTAAAATTTAAAATAAATAGTATGAAAACGTATTAATTCAAAATTATAAATTTTTATTTCTTTTAGGAAATACTTCAGCACTGAGCTCCAAAATATATAAATCTAGGTCAACATCACAATTGTGCCATACTCCAACATCTACAAGAATTATTGATTCGGTATCGAACATTAATAAAAGGCAAAATACAAGGAAAAATTATAAAAGTATGCCAAAACTAACGTCATCTACGAAAAAAACAAAACCATCAGTTTCCGATCAGACAAAAAAATCAGCGAATTCAAAACATAAATCAGTTGGAAACGGACTTACTGCAAATATATTCAAGGACAAGTTTCAAGGTGACGATCAACCAAAAAATAACATTACTGAGCCTCCAAATAAACGCTTAAGTCCGAAAAAGTCAAAAGATGATCAATATTTAAACAAAAATCAGACCAACACAAAATTCAATGGATCGCAAAATGTTTTAAGAAATCGTAGGAAATTAAAAAATTCTAGTGCTGAGCTAGATTTCATTCCTGCCAGTAATGAAACTTCTAACGAGGATGTAATATTTGTTACTGAAAATGGCATATCCAAAACTAATGTTACTGGAGTACAGCACAAGAATTTAAGTGAACTTCAAAAAAATGTTTTGAATAACGTTGAGTTTAAAGATGTAAATGAAAATTTTAATCTTAATAAAAACTTTACTGGAATTCAATTTAATGCAACAAAAAAAGAAAGCAAGAGAAGAGAGAAAACTATAACAGATCTAAGTTTTGACAACAATGAAGCTTCTACCGAAGATGTAATATTTGTTGATGAAAACATAGCTTGTAAAAGTGTCATATCTGTAACTGATAATACTGAGGCGCAAAAAAATGTAAGCGATTTTACTAAAGTTGACACAAAAAAAGAATATCACCATTTAAATGCTTACGAAGGTTTAAAAATTGCTATAAAAAGTCCTCTAAAAAAACCTAAAAAATCAAGAACAGCAAGTGGTGAACCAGATCTCAGTATCATAAACAATAAAACGACTATCGAAGACATAATATTTTTCGATGAGAATATATCCTGTGGTAATACCATACCTAAGATTAATGTTAATGTAGATCAGTCAAACAGTTTAAGTGAAGTTTCAAACAGCATTGAATCAAAACATGGTAGCGATCATTTGAAAGCTGCTTTTATAGATTTAAATAATCAGTGTTTAACGATTACTGCAAAAATTCCTCTAAAAAGTGAGGAATTAAAAACAGCTAATGCTGAAACGGACTATAGTCTCATCAACAATGAAACTTCTATTGAAGACCTAATATTTGTGGGTGATAACATTGCTTGCAAAAATGTATCTAAAACTGATGTAATAGGTGTATTTTTAAACGATAAAAAACAAGAACGCTCAATTCATGAACAGGAATGTAACGAGCCAATAGTAAATAGTAACGTGTATTGTACAGTAGCCAAATTGGATACTGATTTAGATGACGTGGAATTTACTGGACACATACAATTGATAAACGAGAATCAGAATTTTACAGATTTCGTATCTGTTGCAAAGTCTTCTTCGCCTATCAGCAATGATAGTGCAAAAGGTTCATCGATAGCCAATGACGAACATTGTTTGCCATATAAAAGTGGTGATTTACTGTGGGCTCAAATATATAATTACTGTTATTGGCCTTGTATCGCTTGCCCAGATCCAGATGGAAATATTATTACGAACATAAGTTCCAAAAATTTTGTACATGTTATGTTTCTTGCTGATAATTGTCGAACAAATATGGCGAAAAATGTTATGCCATATGCAGGATTAAAATCCTATAAAAAACTTGTCGATGATATCGAGAAAACAGAAGGCAAAAAGGCAATCCAAAATAAATGTATGATTCCGAATCGAAATAGAGAGCAAAAATGGTATGAAGCCGTTCGCGAAGCTACTATTTTAACAAGAGTGGATCATTCGGAGCGTTTAGAAGTGCTTAAAGAGATGTATGAAAATACACGGTAAGTACAAAGTAAAGAGTTAATAAATTAATTAATAAATAGTTTACGCCCGTTTCTTTTAATCTTGTGTATATTTAATATTTTATTGCTTATATTAATTTATGTAATTTATGTAAATATTAGATTAATATCAAAAACCAAAATGAAGCGACGATTGACAATGATGGAAACATATGATGGAGACTCACAAATAAGAAGAGATTCTATAGATGATATGAGTACGGAAATGGTACCTCTATCCAAGAGACAACGATCAATATCACCATTTAGTCCACAATATTCACCTATAAAAGCGATGCCAAAACGTACAAAACTAAGTCTAGGTGCTGAATTAAGTAAAGAAGAACCGTCAGATACTTGGAACTCTACCAACAGCTTATGCCCTGATATTTTCGAAGACCCGAATTTTAAAAAACTTCAACTTGCGTTGAAAGAATTTACTACGGAAAGTAATATGAATGATAAACATGACGAAAGTTTGCTTATTTACGCAAAAAAAATATGGTCATTAAAATATATGAATAAAGTCGAATATGAACAACAACTTTATAATAGTTATAGTGCTTCTGAATATGGGTCAGTGTTGACCGACATAGAAAACGATGGGTCATCGTCATCAGTGAAACGCTTATCAAATAGGTTGAAACATATAGCCTTTCAACGTTTGTCAACGAACTTGAATCAAATGAATACTAAACCGGTTAATGAGTTAGTAGAGAGAGTACAAGAAGAAAGAGTAAAAAGAGAACCAACTCGTGCAATAGAAGAAGTTATTGACGATTTGTACAATTTAGATCAAAAATATTTATTTCGAGGAGTTGGAAAGTTTACAGTTTGTAAGTATTGTTACAAAGGGGGTGATAATATAATAAAATGTGCGAACTGTCGGTCCTGGATTCATGTAGATTGCGCAACTAATACTCGAAAAAATAATGATGACAGTAATGTTAGACGTTCAATAACTCGTAGAAGATCACGATCAAACAGCACAACAGATTTGTCTCTAAACATAATTGCATCATCAATTAATAAAAATGTAAATACACAAAAAAATTTAGCTGTATCCAGTCAGGATGCCGTTAACGATCTAAATACTGCCAGCACTGATTATCATTTAATTGATTCAGATGTATTAATTCAAAGCAATC